ATGTGTCAGCAAACAATACTATTTTGCAATGGTCCTTAACAAAAACTGGCAGATTATTAATATAAATCAGAAATAACAAAGGTCCAAGTATTGAGCCCTGCGGAACACCCATTTTTACCGGAGAACCCAAAGAAGTCATTCGATTTATGTGTACTTTCTGTATTCTACCGTTGAGATATGACGATACTAGTTCCGACGCCTTGCCATTTACATCGTAATATTCCAGCTTCCTAATAAGAGTAATATGGTCAACGCAATCAAATGCCTTTAAGAGGTCACAGAAAACACCAATAGGGTTCCCAAGCATCAAAAATGTGTTTTAGTAAGCTAATTGGGGGGTGGGGGGCGAACCTGGATTAGGTTAGCACGGGTTCGTGGGGAGTGGCACAGAAACTTGGAGGCCTATAACCCAGCAGTGGGTAAAGTCAGGCTGTATATGACGATGATATGAGACGCAACTCACGACGTAAAGTTGTACAATCTTTAGTTAAAACAAATATGTAACTAGTGATTTTTGTTTGAAATAAAGTTTTAAATAAACAAAAATACTCACGGTCTACATGGATCTCGAAGTTCCTCCGACCCTCTGAAATAGCCCGCGATACACCTGTCGCATCTAAGGCCTTCTGTACTATTGGCACAACGCACGCAGCGCGCTCTAGCGGAAGACCCGCCCTCGCGATAGTAGTCCTCCAAATCTGCACTGCTCACATCGCGCGAAGTCGGAGACACATCTGACAGATCGTTCGTACAGATGCTGGTGTGGCCGTGACAGTACGTTGAACAAGGGATGCATTGACCGTTGTCGGTAGGGTCGCCCACAAAGTTCGGCTTGCATTTCTCGCATTGGTTGCCCTAGAAATGAAGAAAAGGTAGTAAGTAATAAACACATATAATATCGCAAAAATATACGCAATAAATAGTGTACGCAAATAAAAGTACAAACCATGGTGTTGTTGTGGCACTCAATACACTTGTCGAGCTTGTCGGGTCCTTCGCAGTGTGCGTGTCCGTTACATTGGCACTGGATGGTGCAATTGGCGCCGACGTAGCCGAAATCGCAGCGGCACACATCGGGCTGCACGCAAGCGCCGCGCACGCAACCCTGCGCACACACTGCCGCGCATCCTCCACCCCCTGCACGCTTGTACCCCGTGCCGCAAGCGCACTCATAGCCTTCGGGCAGGTCCCGACACACCTGCAGAACAATATCCATTTCACTAAGACATTTTATTCATGACAAATGTTAAGCGATTATTATATGTATACACAAGTTATTTTTAATAGGTCCCAAGACCTCTCAACACCAAATTTAGTTAAATAACTTTTGTTCCACGTCTAAAAAATGTTTATGTATACACAATGATATTGTGATACCTGTGAATGATTTGTTGTCTTTGGAAAATCAAACACTTGTACTTTATTTTATAGAACTTCTCAAAAAAGTATAAAAAGGTTATAAATACCTCAGACTCTGCTTTACATTGATGATGATTATTTTCGCATTCATTCTCCGGTGGACATCTAGTATAGTGCCAAGAAAAAGTGTCATTCGTGGTGTTCGTTTGGTGCACACTTTCATAAACTGCCGCACAAGTGGTTCGTGTTGAGTAATCGAGAGGGGAGTCAATGGAGCCTTCAGCGCAGACACCTTGCCCGTTCGCGCCCTCTAGTGCGCACCAGCCGCAATGGGAATGATGCAAGCACTCTGAGCACTGCTCAAATGTTCCACAAGGTGCTGGGCACTTGTTCTTATCAGCTTTAGTAAGCACCAAACCGCATACACCACCAGCACAGTATACGGGTTGATACGCAGGTGATATGCACTTTCCGAGATAAGTTGCCCAGTGGCACTCCGCGAATCCCCCTTCTGCACCATCAGAACTAAGACACGACTGGCAATCATCGTATTCGTGACACCGTTTAGGACAGTCGTCTTTTGTCCATGGACGCGAAATGCTTCGTGTTGGTTCATCCGAAATAGCGCAAGTCCAATTGAAAAGTTCGTTAGGACTTTCTGGCACTTTTATTATTTGACCTGTACGAGAAAGACGAGAGCTTTTATGTATTATCTAAAAACACTATTATCGACAAATCTAGATATTAATATCTTACCTTGTCTATTGATCAGTCTAGTCCACTGACACTGGTTATTAGTGACGCACTTTTCGCAATCAGACGCCGCGCATCTCAGTTCCGGACACTGGTCCACGTCGCTGATGTAAGTTGTTCCCGCGTTACATTTCATACTGTGACACGATTCATCCGTAGGAACACATTCGCCTGAAATAAATTTATTTTCTGAAAACGAAACAATTTCAGAATATGCTATTTTTTATAATATAAATGACGGGACGAACAAGTCGTGCGCGTGATGGTAAGCCACACGCCTATCCATATAGTTACAATGCCACTCGGAGCTTAAAAATCGCAAAGATCTGAGGGGCGTTGTCACTGCGTCCGTTACATCGAGACATAAGTTGACAAGTCCCATGTGCCTGTAATTTCACCAGCACCCTGATCCTTCAAAACCGGAACACAGTAATGCTGACATTACTGCTGGGCAGCAGGAATAGGCAAGGTGGCAGGCAGTACTACCCTGGAGGAACTCTTTCACAAGGAGCTGCTACTAAATTTAATTCTTATGAATTTACTAATGAATTAACTGATTATGAGATAATAACATTTTGAAATACTCATAAAGCAGAAATACAGTTAACTAACCAACTGCAGCTGCACAAGATTCGCACCAACGACAAGCAGGTTTCTCTTCGGGATACATAGGCCACGCAGCCAAACACGATGAACAAGTAGTGAAGTTTTCACACGATCGTCGTGCAACCAGCTCCGCATTGCATGCAGTTCCAGAATTGGTAGACACAATATCGCTGCTTTCGCAACCGGGTTTCCCTACTGAGTAGCATTTAGTATAATTCCCAGCACTACAGAAACTGCATCCCATACGACTGCGGCAATCTAGTTTACTGGTGCTCCACAGTGAACAGAGATCTTCAGGTAACGATATGCGGGTGACTTGGCAATGTGCATTGCCTGTCCAACCTCCTATTATGTAGATGTATCCTTCGTTTTCTGCTTCGACGTCTATTGCCATTGCATGCGCTATTGTCGGAGGTGGAGGATGACCCACTATGGTTACTCCTGAAACAATGTAAGTGTCGTAACATTAGCCTATTTGATAGACATACAAGCACTAAAATTTTCAAATTCATTCAGAGTATAGTTTTTTCAGGGTTCAAAATTAGCAAGATATTTATTTTCTCTCATAATTATCATGTTAATTATCCGACAATTAACAATGCTTTTTCATAGTTTTGTCTCGTTAATATTATTATATAAAAATGACAAACTAAATAAACATGAAGAAAAATCTTTGAAAAAACGATTTGGATTGTGACTTTTTTGGATTGACATTTGTCACGTTTAAATAAATAACGCACCCATTCATAGCCCTGCACGAGTAGAACGGCTACCATGACTGGCATACTAGTCACGGTACCCGTTCGCTCACAGAGGCATTGGATACGACTCAGCATTCTGTTGTTTCAATTAATTTTATAAATATCAAAATTATAATCAAGGTATATTTATCAATGAACGATTTATCATTTCGAACCCTGTTTTTTTTACTGACCTGTCGTAAGTTTGACCCATTGATTGCATCCATACACGTAAGCATGAAGTGATTCCGATGTTAAAGATGAATCGCTTTTACCTCCAAAAATGATCATATAGTCATCTGTAGTCACAGCTGAGTGCAAGTATGTCGGTATGGGTTGATTTTTAAAGCTATTTAAATTCGGAAAAGTTGGCAGTTCGCTCCATTTCTTAGTAGGGTAATGGAATGAGAACAATGTATTAGACAGCGTAGTACCATTGTAGGTATACAATATTCCGCCATAGATGTACAAACTCTGAGACAGTGCGTGATAAACCGTGCTGTGACCGATTATTCCCAAAGGTTTCGTACCGCCACATTGTAATTTTATCCATTTGTCGTTATCCAGGTCGAACTCCCACATGTCAGCCATGAAACCATACTCTAACGAAAAGCCTCCGATCATAACAAGACTTTCATAATCCTGATACTTTTGCAGTGTCAATGTATGTCCAGCAAGTGGAGGCGGTTGCTCTTCTTTACTACTAATATTACTCCATCTCTGATCTTTCAAACTAAACTGCCAGAAATCACTTAGCGTTTTATTTAAGCCACTTTTTTCTTGTAGACTAAGACCACCATAAATGTAGATGTTTTGTTTAGAGTGATATATTTCAGCCGCATGGAAATATCGACCTTCCGGCATTTTTGCATCGGGAGTTGCTTCAACTGTGACCTGCATCCAAGTGTTATTCTTTGTGTCAAAAAATCTTATGTCGTTCAGAGGGCCATGCGACAATGAGTAACCTCCGAACATCCACAATCCTCGGCGATCTGCAACCAAACTGTGGCCAAACCTCGGTAAAGTTTTCCTCAAATGATCTAATCCGTCTGACAAGTATTCTGAATTGAAAAGTTCTGTAAACACCAGTTGACTTTTATCCAACTTGACGGAACAATCTTCTGCACCAAATCCTTCGTTACAAAGGCATCTTCCGTAACTGGAGTCGCACACTCCTGCGTTATTCGCCATGCTACAGTTATTTCGGCAAATGTCAACTTCGCAGTTTGGCCCATCGTAACCATCTCTACAAACACAACGTCTTCCTTTGCAAACTCTTGGCCAAGCACAGTAGCCATCACATCCTAAAACTTTGTAAATGCCTTCAAAGCCTTGTTCCAAATGACCCTGTTTGTAATGGACAGTTAAGTTACCACTGCGAGCTTCCACAACTCCTGAAGCACCCGTGCAGAACACACCAAGCAACTGACTTTGCTGGTTGTTACTAATGTCTGGAACTCCACCCAGCCCGTCATACACATACACGGCATTTTCATCGCATGGCACGTTAAAACGCTCCGAGTTTATTGAAAATTGGATTATGGCGTCTTTTATTTCTTCAGCAGAAATAATCCATAGACATTCTTTAGATGGTCCAACGGTCTTTATATTCGGATCCGACATGTACGAAGTAATTCCTTCAGTTTCAGTGGCATTGAGCATACCTCGGGGCTCACATTGATAAAAACATTTTCCTCCGTGTCGAGGGTCTCCATGGAACTTAGGTTTACAACTTTCGCAGTTCTGTCCTTGAGTGTTATCCTTGCAAATACATTCTCCAGTGCTGACGTCACACACTCCGCGAGTTTCATCACCGTGATCATTACAGTCACATCGCCGGCAACCTTGCCCGGTTGTTGCGTTTCCATGGCTTCCTGGTTTGCATGATTCACAAAATTCACCCTCAGTCCAATCCTGACACTCGTCGCATCTACCTACGCCAGTGCGACACGTAGAGTGGTTGTGACAGCCACAGTTAATCGAGCAATCGGCTCCCGTCCAGCCTAAATCACAGTTGCATTTGTATTGCGGTGCGCCAAGGCAATAGCCGTGGATGCAGTTATTGTAGCATGTTCGAATGCAACTCTTCTTTCCGTCACCGATGTAACCTTGTTTACATTTACACGTATAAGAGCCATGGGTGTTATTGCATACGGCATGTTCATGACAATCGTGCAGGCCAAGGCCGCACTCGTCAACGTCAGGACACTGAGCGTAGGCCCACCCCGCGTCCGATACAGTTACATTCAGCAAAGACGCACAGGACATATGTGACCTCGTAAAATCGCCCTCGGTGCATGCGCCAATTATTGGATTTTCGTGTGAGTGACACCAACCACATCCCATACTTCGTAAGCATGTGGAGCATTGAGTATGAGCCTGGCAAGATTTGCATTGGCTAGATTTGCGTGTGGTATCGTCTGTGGGTGTCGAGGCGCGATCTAGCCACTCGCGACATAAGCCGAACTGGTACTCGCTAGTGTAAACGCTAAAACTGAAACACTGGCGGGTGGCTTCGCACCAGACACAGCGGCCGCGCTCGTCTAGACAATGCTCGCAGTCGAGTCGCAGGCGGCAAGGCGCGGGGCACTCGCTGACTTCTACGATGGCCCCGCTAGCACGACCACGACGTGCACATCGAGCTTCGTCAGCCCACCACTCACAGTAATTCCCGGAAACACAGCGCTCACAGCTAATGTAGTTTGAACAATTAGGGCAAGCTGACGGTTGCAGAGTGAGGTACCGCCATTCACCGTCAGCCGCGCATTCGTTTTGTTCGTTGGCATCACGTTGCTCGCACCGGTTGGTAAGCTCGCACCACCCACATGCTGCATCCGATAGACAAAGCAAGCAGTTGTCATAGCTGGCACATTGACCGTTGGAATATGGTTCGAGGAACTCAAATGTGAAAACCTGAAATAATTACATAATTATTTACATGTATGTAGTATAATACACAAACAAAACATTATCCAAAATTTCGATAATAGTATGATTTTTTACCTTTGCAGTCTCCAGAGATTTATTATGTAACAATTCCATTTTGGCGTGATGATGAGATGGATAGAGTCCAGTGTGTAATGAGTCGTTGGCATGCATGTCGACGTAAATGCGGCTGGGTTCGAGCGCAGGCCAGTTGACTAGCGAGCAAGCAGACGGCTGCGCTGTTAAGTTAGCCACAGAGTTCTTGCTTTCATTGAGCGTCAGGGTTATGTTTGCGTATCCAGCGCAGACGTGTAGGGTTTCCCCTGTACCGTTCCAGTACTGCGGTATGTGTAACCAGCCGCGTAGTCTTGCCTCGCTGGACCCGCTGAAGATGTGATTGCTGCCGCCACCCGTGCCCCAATCGATAGTAGTAGCGTTAACGACCGACACTCCGTCAGGATGATTCCAGTCTGCTGGCTGTTGATATCTAATGAACGTAAGACCGGGGCGTTTGTCTAAGTTCTTGCATTGGTCGGGTGCGGTCACTTCGGTCCCGGTAGCACCCCACCAGCCTGGATTTTCTGAAGGAGTATCTTCACCGCACACTCCGTAAGTATCTGCAATTTATAAATTAATTAAATAATTATTTTGGGCATCCTAACCCCCCGTTCACACGGCATTGCACTGCCCGTTTTTTTGCAGTATTCGATATGCGTTTGTATGTGCGCGCGTTTTTTTGTAGGACAAATACTGTGTGAACCGCACGGCACAACCGGTTCGGATTTATGCTGCAAAAAAACGTGCAGTACAATGTCGTGTGAACGTGGGGTAAGTGTTCGAAAGTCAAGATAGCCCAGCTGTATGCGCCTTTTTTAGTCAATTCAGGATTTTTTCAGTTCTACGTATGTCATAGATTAGGCTAAATCTGCTTGTTAGTCACAACATATTATTTATTAATAACAAATTTAAAGTCATTGGGCAATTTATTGAGCGTAGAGAGAAGGGCAAAAAAACGAATCAAAGTTGACTCTACATATTTCTCGGTGAATTAGTCGCGAGATGTGGCTTAATTGTTTTTAATTAAAAAATCGGAAAGTAATCGCACCTTCCTTGTGATGGCATCTAGCATTCTGCACACACCAGGTGCATTGGTAGAGTTTGAGCTTTGTGCTGACGGAAGGCAGGGCAACGCGTGAGGAGTTTGCACTGGCGGCGGCCAGCGCTGGCCCGTGGATCAGACACGAGTGGCAGTCACCGAGGGTCGGGCAAATGCCACCGCAGCGAATTGACTGAAGGTTCGTCGTGCAGTTCGAGACTATTGTTCTCCCGTAGCAGATCTATCAATGTCAATACCAATTTAATACCACAACCTCTGTCAAAGGTTGTAACATTGAGTATCATCATCATTTCCTATTGAGTATCAGATCACTTTATTATCATTATATATGGCGAATTGGACTTGTGCCTGTTTGGTTTCTAAAGTGAGCGATCCCATTTAGTTCAAACTGTCAAATGAGCTAATTAGGTTTTTTAGTTCCTTTACTTCCTTTAGTTCAGTAATCAATTAAATCTGGGATTTGGGAATGAACAGGAACCGTTTCGGTCTGTGCAGAACACGAAGCGAAACGATCCGTACGAACGATTTAATAATTTAAACGGGAATGTTTTATTGTTTTTCCTATATAAGAGTGTAGTCTTTCTTTTATTTCTAATTTCCTTTTAATGAATATATTTAAGACAAAACGTGTGTAGCGTAAATTGGAATGTCCTTTGGTAAATTAATAATTAATATCTTTTGTAAATAAAGTGAAGAAGAGGGTGGTTTGCCTTAATATTAGACAACTGATGACTTAACCATCTCAGTCAGCCGTGACCCAACTGACCTGTAAAAGGCCCGAAACGTTGGCTTGTTTGAAACACCAAATATATGCGATTTAGATCTGAAAGAATGGTTTCATTTGTATTCATTCTTGTTTTTTTTTAATTTATAATCTGTAGCTTTGCAGCGCAGACATTCTAACTGAACTAAATACAAGACAGGTGAACTGCTAAGTTCAGCCAGTGTCGGAAATTCATTCTTCATCATTGCCATTGCAACTGCCTCCGTGGCCGAACGGTTACCATGCCGGACTGCCACGCGTAGGTCCCAGGTTCGATTCCCGGGCCGGGAGAAATATTTGTATGGCCTACATTTATTTCTCTCGCGAGTTTACGTGTAATTTTTGGTTGTCTATGTGTGTCCATGGCACCCGCGACACAGGGTTTCCCTAATGTGGGGCTATGTTGAGTGTATGCGTTAATATTATTATTATGTTCTTAACAAATTCTTACTTCATGAGCTATTCAAGCCTACGGTGAATGGCATGTTTTAATTCAGGCACTGTACTCACTATTATTTTCCTAGAGTAAATTCGTAAATGTTCAAGTCGACTAATGAAAAAAATTGTAGGTTGGTTCAGAGTACATTTTGCAAGATTTTTATCTTAACTTCGTAGGAGTACAATACAAATAGTATTTATGTGTTACAGATAGGCTAAAAAGTAGTTTCAGACTTACGTCGTCTGCAGAGCACCAGCCGCACTCGGGGTCTGCCAGGCATTCAGGCTGTGTGCGGTGACGCGGACAAGCCGACTCAGGGTCGCTGTTCAAAATACCCGCCTGCCAACTCGGCACCACATACGCTAGCAGATCACCTGCACGATACATTGTTGTTCTTACTACATACAATACATAATTATCACACTGTTTCTGTGTAAGGTAAGTCTGATATAGTGTATTTGCGCTTGCAACGATCCTACCACACTTCCGCCGCTATCAAAGATCGTACTGCATTAATCAATCATCATAGAAACTTCAATTTTATAATCCTTCCTTCTGCCATTCAGTATACAGTAAGCGAAAAATCGCAGCTCACTCTTCGTAAGGCAAGGCGAGATGGATTGCGTGCGCATGACTCGACGGCGTTTTAATATATACAGTCAACAGCATACAGTTTTACACCATTGTTATCGTAAGTAGTAAAGGGCTGGACTTAAATAAGATAAAAAAAAAAGAAAATAAAAACCGTATTATAAAATATCGTTATTTCAGAGTTTTCATAAATCTAAAATTACACTGTAAGTAGCATTTTCATCATTATTATTTTAAGAACGAATAAGTATTAGAATTACACGAAAAGCATTTAGGTTTATAACCTTCACAAAAAAAAAAAACAATAAATAAGTACTAAGGAATGAATATTTTTTTTATTTCGTCAAAACTTTTTTAATACAGTTGCTCAAAACGTGGTATTTTTCGCACTACAAATCGTGCGGAAAGTTGGATTTCTCGCACTAGTGCTTTTTACTTTTCCAGTTTTTTTTAAATTTACTGTTGTTTCAAATCTTAAGCACAGAACTAAAGAAGTTGTATATTTATTTAATATTTATGTGCTTTGTGACGTAAGTCATTCGTCATTAAAACTTATATTTATTTACAAATACTATATAATGAACGTATCGAGTGGAGGTCTCTGCCTACCCCTGAATGGGTGACAGGCGAGATTTTTATGTATATATTAGTTTTATGTATTACAGATAAATTGTATCTCACTACCGTGCACGGGTTCCTAAAGAAGTTTAAACAAAAGTACCAGGACTTCATAATAAGAAAAGTGGTTACAGACCGATATTACAGAAAAGAAACAAAAACAGCACGTTAGAACTATATTTCCATAGACTTTTAAATAATGGTTGCAGTGGTTGTATTTCATTATTTTAATTTACTAGCAGAAAATGAGTTTTTTTAAAATAGTGTTTTATTTTACTTTCAATGTAGTTTTTTCGCAAATGTATCAAAAAACGTAGTTTGATACACGTGCGGATTTGTCATTTTCACTTGTCTCGAGTCTTGATGCCTCGAGACTCGTGATTAATGACTAACTTTCCGCACTTGTATCAAAATAACTATTTTAATACAGTTGCTCAAAACGTGGTATTTTTCGCACTACAAATCGTGCGGAAAATTGGATTTCTCGCACTAGTGCTTTTTACTTTTCCAGTTTTTTTTAATTTACTGTTGTTTTAAGTCTAAAACATAGAACTAAAGAGATTGTTGTGAGATATTTATTTCATATTTATATGCTTTGTGACGTAAGTCATTCGTCATTACTATACTATATCTATGGAGAGACCGCATTTTTACACCTATGAAGTAAATGCTCCTTAGTAGCGATTATGTAGAAAATAAAGTAATATAAAATAGTAATTTTAATGTGGCTGAATACTGGCAACAGTTGCCATATTGAAAAAAGTCGGCAAAAAAAATACTAATTTTTTTCATCGTTTACATTCCCGCCTTTTTCATTAACTTTTTTACGATTTGATTTTGTTATTGACTACTAAAGAAAGAATTGACAATATTATTTATGCAAAAAATGAGTGATTCCGACGAGTGTATTGTGGATTTAACACCACCAGATATACGTGCAAAAGCATTAATAGCAAGCAATAGTACTTTACCGGATAAATCGAAAGATAAATACACAGCCGTCTATGATCAGTTTATAGACTGGAAGCTAGAAAACAAAACGGCTTCATTCTCGGAAAACGTACTTATGGCTTATTTTCTCGAACTGTCCAAGAAATACCAGGCATCAACTATGTGGTCAAAATATTCCATGTTAAAAACTATGATTAAAACAAAAAACGACATTGATATAAAAAACTACACGAATTTGACTGCGTTTCTGAAGAGGAAATCTGAAGGATACCAAACCAAGAAGTCTAAAGTGTTGACAGCATCTAACATTGAAAGATTTATTAACGTAGCTCCAGATCATCAATATTTGGCTACAAAGGTAGGACTTAGACACAATCTTTCGTTTCTTATATGTACACTTATTAAGTTATCTACACTATAAATATGTGACTAATATTATTTATTAAATTAATTTGCAGGTTGCACTCATTTTTGGGATCTCTGGTGCATGCAGGCGCGAAGAACTGTGCAACATTACAGTTAAAGATATTGCAACTCATGGAAATATGATAGTAGTATCCCAAATACTAAAAATAAAATTCCGAGATCGTTTACTGTTGACGGGCCATTTTACGAAGTTGTTAGGAAATACTACAGTCAGCGTACATCAAAAGGAAAGAGTGACCGTTTTTTTCAAAATTATCAGAAAGGGAAATGCACTGCGCAGGCTATTGGCATCAATAAATTTGGAAACATGCCAAAAGAAATTGCCATATTTTTGAATTTACCAGATGACCTTTATACAGGTCATAGTTTTCGTAGGTCTTCTGCCACATTACTTGCAGATTCTGGGGCTAATATGACAACCGTAAAGCGACATGGTGGATGGAGATAGAGTCATGTTGCTGAAGGCTACATAGAAAGCTCCATTGTTAACAAATTGAAAATCGGAAACCAAATAACACAGTCTATCCATATACACCACCACCACCAATTGAACGCTGTCAGCCTACTCCACACACTTCCACGTTTTATGAACCCCAACCAGGCCCGTCTCAGGCCCCCGACAATATTTGTAAACCTGAACCAGGAACAAGTTCATCTGATTCCGTCCGACGCCAACGTTTTTGTACACCAACTAATAATCAAGGACCTGAGCCAGAATCGACGCAGACATGCGAAATTAACAGCAGCTTGAGTCAAACTGTGAACTTGCCGGAAAGACCTCAAAGTACAGTGTTACTCTTAATAATTTTTCAAATTGTACTCTGAATTTTTATCAAACAAAGGAATAAAATGAGGTTTTTTTTAAATACTGTTTTATTTTACTTTCAATGTAAGTTTTTCGCAAATGTATTAAAAAACGTTGTTTGATACACAGGCGGATTTGTCATTTTCACTTGTCTCGAGTCTTGACCCTCGCCTGTGGCTCGGGCCAAGATGTTTCGAGACTCGTGAATAATAACTAACTTTCCGCACTTGTATCAAAAATAACTATTTTCAAACGACTTCGTCGTAAGAGGTAGTTAGCATTTCAACATTGTTTACGCGACAATCAGAGCTCTGAATTCACTTTACAATAGGCAATGATACTTGTATCAGCGTGTAATCTTTAGGAGCAAAGGAAATCAAGATTGCCGTGAGTCACTCGTCAGCCGTCAATTACCTATATAACAACTCAGGAGCAGGTTCAAAGGTCACATGCAGTTTTCAAGCTTATGAATAACAAGAATAAAGCGTATTTATGAATAACAAGAATAAAGCCTATTTTTATTTAAGTACACGCGAACGTAATCTCTTAAGAAAATTTTCGCTTACGTATTTGTTTTATTTAAGGACTACTTAAACTAATTTCGTCTGAATATACATATTCTTACCGTTGACATTTCCGTGATATCCGCCGGCAATTAGTAATGTGGATGGCGGTTTCAAGGCCGCCGCGTGCGCAAACACACCTTGCTTCTTTGGATACAGCTTGCGGCTCTTGCCTAACACGTCCAAAGGTATCCACGAGTGGCAGCCGAGATGATAAATGTACATTTGACCGTCGTAGCATATTTCTTCTCGATTGTGCCGATGAGAATATCCTCCAAATACAATGAGATAGTTTCCTACAAAAAATTAACACGTGGTTAATAATAATAATGAAACACGTTTTTTGTACTTGTATGACGATTACTGACCACGTTGTTTCAAGTATGCTAATTCCAATAATGTTAGTACATACGTGTGGAACACGCAAATAATATTTTTTTGTCATTTCAGTTAAGATCGAGCTATTTAATGCAGTAAGCAAACAAATATAGCAATCAACTTCTTTACAATGACAATGTTGAGTTACAACTTATATTTCCAAATATATCTTTAAGACATTTACATAATATTACTCTTTCAAGATATTTCTAGTTTATTATTACCAATGATTGTGGAAGTGTGGAAAGCTCGTTCCCTCGGGACATAGGTGTCGCGCAAATGTGCTCTGGGATAATGTATTTCGGTCCAATGTTTGTAATCAATGTCGAATGCGAACATGCGATCCGACAGCTTGGAGAATCTACAGAAAGTGGAATAAATAACATAAATTCAAAAACATGATCCGCTTTACATGACTATTTTACAGACTGAAGCGTTTTGTTAAGCTGAAAACATTTTAAAAAATTTTCTTGAACGGACGACTTATACATTTGTTTGCATCTTATTTAGAGAAATAAAACATTAGAGAAATAAAACTTTGACTACAAAAAAAGTAATTTAAATAAATGTTCATCAACATCGTGTCTCCTTTGCATCCTAGTATTATAAAAATAAGGAATCAAGTTTCGAATTACTTACCTAGCGACACTAGCAACTACGCCTCCATAAACAAGTATAGAATTGGAATGTTCATGATAGACGGCAGTGTGTGCTACAACACGCACATCCAACTCTTTCCCCCCACGTACCTGTACCCTTTCCCATCCTTCTGTAGTCACGTCACTCAACTTTATTTTATACATGCTGAAACAATATTTGTTCTCAAATTACAGAATTCAAAATCAAGATAGACGTCCTATAAGTAGTCATTTAATGGCTGTTTAATTTGAGGTAATACTCACTTAGAAGAAAACTCGCCATCAACTGTACTTCCACCAAACAAATATAGATCGTCTTTTACAGTCGTCAATGTATGTCGTGTTAAGCCAGGTGGCGTTAATGAAGAGTTTACAGCCCTAAGCGACCATGTGTTACTTATAACATCATAGAACCATAGTTCTGACGACAAACTTCCATCAGATAATTTCCCACCAAAAAGAATGAAGCCGTTTCCATATACACAAGCTGAGTGACCGTATCTTGGTTCTGGTTTAGTAGAATTAGCTCTACCCAAATTTATCATCTCTGGTTTATCAGTAAAATGTAAATAACTTTCTGAATATGGTGTTGGTGAATTTGTATACATAAGAGGTAAAGTGGTTCTGTCATGGTGAGAGAATGAAGATAATAATAAATTAAACAATGAACTCCTATTTCCTCTGTGCCAGCTGCCTTCGTCATTGCCCTGCAATAATGATAAAAAGTGAACTTTACATAATAGGAAGCAATCAAGAATGACCTCGAAATGGAAACATTGACCAGTAGAGAGAACATAAAAAATACGACTAATTATTTCATGCCCTTGTTATTTGTGCACTTTGCAAGCTAAATACGCAATTATGATGTTAACCAACTGTTTCAGTAGTCTCAAATCAGGTGAAGGTTTTCATATAAATATCAAAATTTCATTGAGAATTACATTGTATTGCTTTCTTATAACCTAAAAGGATATATTACAATTAATATTAGGTATACCACAAATCTTACCTTAGTAAATAATGTGAGTACTGATTCATTAATCTCCTGATTGGTTGGATATCTATGCATTATTTTTCCATTTTCATCATACCACTGACTAGTTGAAAACCTAAATAAAGAAATCAATTAACGATTTAATTAATTTATGTAATGAATACACTAGTTTAGTTTGGAACTGTTGAGTTATTAATAAAATTAAGTTATCATCACAGATTGCCATTAAAAATTGATTAAAAACCTATTTCACTATTTTGACTCGTTTTACTTACAACATAGTTGTTATAATTAACTGCCTCCGTGGCCAAACAGTTACCATACCCGACTGCTACACAAAGGTCCCCGGGTTCTCCCGAGCCGGGAGAAATATTTGTATGGCCTACATTTATTTATCTTGTGAGTTTGGGTGTACTTTATGGTTGTCCATGCGTGTGTGTCCATGGCACCCGCAACACAGGGTTTCCAGGGGGTGAGAAGCAATGTTGAGTGTGTGCATTGTTATTATTATTATAATTGAAATGAAAGATGAAATTAAAAATTTGTTGTTATTGGTGAATTATCCTTGCAGTACTTAATCTGTGTAGGTACACTTTTATGAGCAGTACTCACTTATAAATCTCCAAAGAACCTAAAACTTTATTCAGATCATATCCTCCAAAAACATATAGAGAGTCTGTGTGATTGACATACACTGCAGAGTGTGCTGCCCTTTTTGTCATGCCAGTCTCTGTGAGAGAGAGCCAGTGCCAGCTATTTCCTTCTTTGTCATTTACTTTTAGAGAGCAAGACTCTCCAGAATACCTAAAATAACATATTAGTATTAACCTAGCAAAACTCTTATTTCTGTAAATAAATAATTGTAATAAAAAAATAAAAAATTTAATAATTTAATTATCGAGTTCTTAGGTTTTCACGATTGTTACACATAGGAAATGAAATTATTTTTCTGGATTTAAATTGCGTATATTTGTTTTTCCAAACAAGCCTTTTTTTTTTTCAAAAAATAAATTTAATTATATAAAACAGATAAAGTCTAATAACTGCATATTTGTGAAATGAAGTTTTCTGTAACAATACAAGTTTCAAAGTGTATTTACCCCTTTTTGCAGATGCAACGGTTTTCTTTACAATGTCCATTGCCTGAGCAGCCGTTAGGGCAGAGTTCCACACTGCAATCCTGTCCCACCCATTTGCCGACACAGAAGCATCTATTGGACATGCATACACCACGGCCTGTACAGTTATTGGGGCAATTGTGGACGGCATATGTAGCTCGGAAACCATCTAGCACATAGTTTGTGTCACTGTATAATAGGATTAGCATCTGCAATAAAATTATGAAATCAGTTCAATGGAAATGTGATACAGTTTTAGGCAATTCATATTAATAAGTCATTATCTTACATATCCACTAGAAGCGGTAACATTTTGTGGCTCAGTCTTGCCACTAAAACTGCCCAGTAATGGTGAATCAAAGGAGTCCCCGTCATACACAAATACATAGTCATAGGAACATTCTGTGCCCATACGAATGAAACTCAGTGTAATATACTGACTCCTGTTTGCAGCCTTGATTAGCCATTCACAGTGCGAGTCCTATAAAAAAATTCTAATTAGCATCTGCCAGAATGAATTGATTTATATTGGGGTATTCACACTTAATGAAACCGACTTGTGTGTAATTGGAGTTGCTGGGCCCATCGGTGATGATACCACTCGGTTCGGTGAAGACCCTGCGCGTCTTGTCGCAGGGTGCTGTGGACGCGGCGCACAGCACGGCCAAGCAAGTCCAGCAGAGGACTACTAAACCTGCACCTTTCTCCCGAATACGTGGGTAAAACATGCCTCTTCTGATTTGACGTAAGACATAAGTCAAATAACAAAGCCATATAATCGTGAATTCGCAACTAATATCACTAAAATATAAAATAAACAACACTCATTTGAGTTAATAGATGACATCTACTTCAAGGCTAACCACTTTACGAGAATAACCACAGTGACTTGTTAAGCTCTCACACTGATTTATATTATATTGATTGCTTCAGTGATATAATTACATAAATTAAATAAATTTACGGCACTGATAATACTTTCTAATGAGATTTTCTTACAAACAAACAATTCACAAATCCATCACAGATTTTATTTTGACATTTAGAATTTTTTTATTAAGAGTTTTGGCTTGGATATAAGTACTTTGAGCCATGTTTTCGTTTAATTATCGAGAACTTTAGTAATAAAGGGTTTAAATATGAAATTGCCGATTTATTTTACTGGCCACTTTAAATTAAAATTAAACCTGTATGGTGTCCGATTTCAGAGTGCAACGTTTTTCACACGAAAAGTAAAACATGCTTAACTTAAAAAACATGATATTTGATTGTTCGACTTTCAATTGTTTTTACATTCAGCTTTTAACGTGAAGACAGATACAGCGAAAATCTGAGTATCTAATTTTCGAATACGAATTTCCACATGGAGTTAACGTAGCAGAAACTGTCAATGCTGTATTTGGAGAGGATACGGCATACGCAAATACGGCAAACGCCGGCAATACGGCAAATTACGACTTAAAGAAAGAACCACGAGGAAGACCAGTCACAAATGTAAATAACGTTGAATTGAAGGTAATGATGGAAGCCGATCCGTATCAAACTACCACGAAACGTCATGGTTTAATGTTAGCATACCCACAATATGACATATGGCGTTTGAATAATGACGACGGAACTCGCAGCAAAACAGCTTCACCGTTATTGCTCTATGATAACGCAACACCTCACACTGCTTGAGAAACAGTTTTACTACTACAAGACCTGCAGATATAAATTATCCATCATCCTACATATTCGTCGGACCTCGCCCCGACCGACTACCATTTTTTCCCGCAATTTGATTTTTTTTTTGTATGGAAATAAAATTCCCAGGAAGCAGTACAAAAATCCCTTCACACAGCTGTGGAGTCCAGGTCTCCAGACTTCTATCGCAAAGGTTTAAATGACCTTCCGATTACATGGCAGAAATGTATAGACAACAAGGGAAAAAACTTTGATTAAACAAATGTATTTAATCTTAAAAAAAATTGTTTTAATTTTTCAGTGCGAAACGGCAATTTCATACTTTAACCCCTAATATTTTCCATTGTGATTCTAATATATTGAAAACATAATTATGTTTTCACTTTCTCTTAAATAACTTAGTTGACTTATTTGGGTTTTTTTAAAAGTCTAAAGCAGCGGGAGCCAATATTTATGTTTTCAGTTTCACTTAAATCACATTATCTATTCTTCTATCATTTTGAACCATTATTGACTTACAAATCAATGTTTTGAACTAAAACTTTGAATTCGTAGCTTGGAATTTTTTAGGATAAAGTCTTTTATAATTTGGTTTAAGATATTTAAATATTCCTTATATTGTAGTTCTAACTTTCTTCATCACTATTTCTTTTTCCGTTTTTTCTTCTTATTATACTTAAAATAAAAAATAATCTTTGTGAACACTGTAGTTGTAACTTCAAAAGTCCGCCATTTTTTTTGAACGGAACGGAACGGAACGGAACGGAACGGAACGGACGAATATAAAATAAAATAATTAAAAGACAAACAAATAAATATGCAAAATACAAACGTCCACAATTAAAAATATAATTAAAATTTCTATAAAAGAAATTCCTCTACTCTGTAGAATTCATTATCCAATAAAAGGTCTTTCAATCGGGAACAAAACACTTCGTCATATGTAACACTTTTTAGACTTGTGGGTAGGTGTTCGTAAAATCGGGGCACGATTACTCGCGGATTTTTCGTTGCGAGTTCGGTTCGATGAGCAACGGGTTTCAGTATTCCTATGTTACGTAACAGTCGGCCTCCGCCTGTGCATCACTCGTAAATCTGTATGTTTTTACGCACAAAAACAATTACATCGTGAATGTATTGTGAATACGTTGTCTAAAAAGTTGTTAAAAAGGCTTCTACAGGACTGATTACCCTTTATGCCTACTATGGTTAGTAGTGCGCGTTTCTGGAGAACGAATACCCTTTTGGACTCAGTTGAATTGACCCACATTGTAATACCATTAATGAGTGGAAGTATGCAAAGTACGTTTGCCTCAACACAGTGGACACAAGGGGACGCAATTACCGCAGTGCGTACGTAGCACCTCCAAGTTTCTCGCACAGAGACTGAATATGGGCTTTCCAGCTTAAGTTTGAGTCTACAAAGCTGACTGTACGTGTGTGTTACTTTTTCGTTCAATTCTGTGAAGCCTTTAGCACACACTATAACAGTAGTGTCATCTGCAAACAGAACTACCAAACCCTCCGATATATAGTGCGCAAGATCGTTGATGAACGTCAGGAACAACGTATTACTCAAGGCCGATCCACGAGGGATCTGATGGTGATATTATCAGCAGCGGAGTTGGTTTTTTTGCCGTCCTATACATATAGTATACTTAAACTGTTTGCCTTCTGTTTGTTAAGAAAGATTTTAATAAAACGAAGGCAACTCCGGTGACACCATACATACCTAATTTTTGTGTTAGTAATTCATTCGCATCACCGTCCAACTTGTTTGCCGGCTGCATTCTTTCTTCTGCAATGACATCGTTTGATTGAGAAAGTCACTACATAATTAAAATAAAGTTACTTAGTTTACTAATCTCGAACGCCTTTGTGAGGTCACAAAAAATCCCTGCTGTTTTATATCCATCATCAATGCTGGTAATGATAGAATCCACTATCCACTTTGCGCGGCAGCTGTGGTGGACTTACCTTTCCTATAAGCAAATTGATGGGAACTGTTATATTATGGAACTATTATAATATAACAGTTCCATCATAATATAATTATATTGTTTAGCTAGGGTACTTGGGTATAATTTTGTAAAAGTTTACTAAATGACATAAAATAAAAAATCTTTAACTGTGCCCATTCAAAATAAAACCATCACACTTTGTTATTCTATATAAAAAATAAATAAATCTCTTAAAAAATCTATTAAAAACAAATCTATCGATCGAATACCGTGCTGACTCGGCAATCCTCAAACCGTCGCAATAACCTGCTTTCAATTGTATATATTGTAGATACAATCTAAACAACAGATGAGTAATTGTTTAAATAGGCATTTATGTATTATTATTTTAATAATTAAGTAAAAAATATTATAGACAAAAACAGCGAAGGGGAGACTTATCGATCGCGCACATTGCTGACGCGGCATAGTCGTTCGTTCGGGTCACCCACCAAGATTCGCTGTTATATCAGTAGAAATTATACTAAGGTGAATTTATGTAACTAGGACTTCATTTTTCTCTTTGTCCTGTATCTATAAATAGCAAAAAAGTATATGCGATGAAATCTGTGCATAGACATGACTACTCGTAATAATTAAAAAATACAAAGAAGTTCGTAACTAAGGTCGTAAATATGTTCTTATTATACCAAAACTGATAATATTTTTATCGTAAGGTGTGTCTGATATATCTGGTCTAGTAAAGTACATCCGCGAGAATCGCCATTGGAGAATGTGCAATATTTTCATAAAAATGTTTGTAACTTCATCTTAAATAGATAGGAACGATTAGAATTTTACAAAATAAATAGTTATTTAAAATGACTTAATCCTAAAGTATGACCGTGAACTAAATGCGTTCTGAATGAGTGTGAATAAAACTAAAGATGAACGATCTGAACTGCACTTAACATCGTTCTATTAATAAAACAAGATGACTCAATTATCGCACTGAAAATCGTAATAGATACGATATCTAGCAATATAAAGAGTAATGTCTTGCATGTGCGTAGTTTGCACAACATAAAGTGACTGAGTGAGCTGATTTTTAGTGCCATCTAGAAACGATATCGAATTTAATTTTAATTTTGTGCTATTTGGTCCTCCTGTTTTATTAGTTCATGCTGATGCGTACTTGTGAAGCTCATTATACAACGTGCACTATATTTTATAGCGGTGGTGAAAATTAATAAATCATTAAGTGCATGTGAGAGGCGAGGCGAGGGCTGTTGAAGTTTTTTCATCCGGAATGAAGTGATAACCGCTAATGACGCTCTTGAGCGCCGACTCATCCACCTCTGCTGCTTAAATTAAATGAAACGACATTATTATACCTCGAGTTGAGACTGCGAGCCTGACGGCGGCCGTCAAGATTAGTAAAATAAGTAACTTTATTTTAATTACGTAGTGACTTTCTCAATGTAACGATGTCATTGCAGAAGAAAGAATGCAGCCGGCAAACAAGTTGGACGGTGACAGGAATGACTACATGCCAACTGTAGGTACATATATTGTCTGCACGTCAACTGCATAGCTGTCGGTAGTTGTGATATAGATAAAAAGTTGTAGTTAATTAGTTACTTAAGGTTACATATCTCGTGTCCCAATTTAAAAGCACGTACTTACGCGTGTTAGCGTAACCAAATGAAGATTATTTTTGCTTTAAGCTTAAAATTACGTTGAATGTGTGCGTTATTTAATTACAGGTAGTTAATGTTTGGAAAACATCGCTCGTGAGTCCTTGATGTTCTCGAGACTTGTGGACGCGCGTGCCGGCCCATTCTAACGCGCGTTTACTATGTAAATTAACTGGCCGACCGCTATGACCGCCGCCGCCATTTTTTTTCACAAACACCAAATATTGCTGCAAATGTTTGTTTTACCTCTGTTTTCAGTCACCGCCGTGTGTCACTGGCATTTTCTCATACCTTTTTGTCCTAACACCTCCCTAATCTCTGTCACGCAGAATTTTTTAGGATTGCAGTTTATTAGAACAATTAATAATTGAGTCTTTTTTTCTAAATGGAGTTCAGTTGCGAGGAACTCAGTAACTGCTTCAAAATATTGACAACTATTTAAGTATAAGAATTATATTGTTTTGTATTGCTCGACACAAATGTATAAACCAAGATTATACATATGAACCTATGTAAATACAACATTATCTTACATTTAGTTTACGGAAGTATTTAATGTAGTACGTAGCGTATGAAACCTGCAATAATTTATCGGCGTGCTACGAACAAACCGGCATTTGTTTTAGGCCAGGAGTAAAGT